AGAGAGAGAGAGAGAGAGAGAGAGAGAGATGGATTGAACTAGCCCATATTTCTGCATTTCCCTTCATGACTGCTAGGCTCCCTACCCTGTGTGATGATTAGAAATTTGCTGTGTGGGTGGGAACTGTTCCCTATACAGTTGTGACTTCAGACCCTTCGATCGTGTCTAGACCTGATGATCTTTGGTTCTCAAGGTTATTGTTAGAGTTGGTTAAGGCAATCTTGAGAAAGGACCCTCCCAAGTGACACAGTTAATTCTCTGTTGTCCAACCTTGGATGGGGGACAAGTAGCTTGCTGTGGGGTTGAATAGGTGGAGGATGGGGTGTTAGGTAGTTAGTCCCTGGGTCTGCCGGAAGATGAGAAGTAGGCTCTTGCTGGCACTTTACTAATGTGAGGTTGATACTGGATACAGCAGCATCTTGAAGTGCAAGCATGTCTAAACTAGCTTTTCTAACTGTCTTTGACTTCAGTCATTAAGGAAGAAACTAACCACAGTGAAGTGGCAGAAGATCTGTGCAAGATAGGAGCAGAGAGGTCCCTTGTTCTGGACAGACTGGCAAGCAACGTCGCCAAACGTAAGAGCTCTATGCCTCAGAAATTTCTTGGTAAGAGTTAAATGTTTGCTGTCTCTTAACTTACAACTATGTGGGTGTTCTAGACTCAAATGAAAATTATCTGAAAGTAGAGGGAAAGGAAAAAATCTCCCTTTTGGAAAAGAAAGTGATAAGATTAATATTTCTTAAATATTGAAGTTTTTTCTCTAATAATTTCCTTCAAACTCAGAAACCTTTCACCAGGAATTAGATAGGATTTCATAGCATCTGGAGCCCTTGGTGTGATGTTTCTGTGGCCACTCTGATGACAGGTGGATCAACCCTCACAGAGCTTCAATTCACATTTTCCCAGGAAGCCTGTGCAACACTCCCCTTGGAGAACAGTGAGGGCTAGTGGGAACCGAACAGAGAACGGCCCCTCAGAAGTTCCAGTGATGGAGTGTTGCAGCTAGAATTGCTGTTTTGACCATTGACCTGTCCTTGACACTGTGAGGAATAATGCAGAGTGAGCCCTTGTTCCTTGAACCTCTGTTGCCTACTGTAGACATAGACAAGTGTTTCCTGCCCACCAGCTGGGGCAGACACTGTAAGGACACGGACAAAGTTGAGGCAGGTGCCTCAGTAGAAATCTCTAGCCTCAGAGATAGGCCTGAGGTCAGAACAGAGGTGTTCATTAACTCTATGACCTTGGGAAGATAAATCAACCTTCCCAAGCTGGGTTCCATGCTTTATGTGTCCCATAGAGCAATGGTGAGCATAAAAGGCCCCTACAGCTGTGAAAACTTTTAGAAGCCCTCAGTGTGCAGGTCAGCTACGATCATGGTCAAGAGAGGAAAGCTATGTCCAGGAAAGAAGAGATAGTGTTTGTGAAGCTGAGATGGACTTTGAGAAAGAGTCAAGACTTGAGCACCTCTCCAGACAGACACTGAAAGGAGTCATGGAGTCTAGGCAGAGAGGAGAAAAAAAACTATGCTGTTGGCGGGGTCTGGAACAGGGCCAGTGGGATGTGATGGAGGGACAGGTGTATTCCCAACTTTGTCCAAGTACCCACGGGGAAGCAGTGGGTGAAGTTGTCCCAGGAAGCTTCGACTATAGTATTAATGGTCTTGATTGCCATTAAGTGCAATGTGTCTTATTCAGAATCACAGAAAAATCTTGAGTATGTTCTCAGTGGGAGCAGCAGCTTTGAATGTAAATACAGCATGGGTCAGAATTAACTGGAAAGAGGAGATGGCAGGAATATGGGTAGCAATCAAGAGGAGGATGCTTTACTGAGGAAGAAATGGAGGTTAGGGTGGGGTTGATGAAGGAAACTGTGGGTTTCCTTGCTTAGTGTGCCATTTGCAGAAAAGACGAAACCAAGTCTGGAAAATAAGGGTTCAGGGTTTGGTGTAATTATTTTCAAGAATGTCACCCTGATAAGGATATCCCATGGAAACTATGCTAGAGAGAACATGGAACTTAAAAAAATGGTCACACACACACACACACACACACACACACACACACACACACACACACACACACCTTCACACCAGAGCACCTACACTGAGATCAGGTTCTTGGGCAACAGCCTTCCTCTTACAAGTACAAGGAGGACTCCAGTTTTATCTTGATTAAATAGAGGTTTCTCATGGGAAGAAGGAGGGGAAGAAAGACTGTCAGAAGACACAGCAGAAACCACTTACTGGAAATTTTGTTCGTGGACTTGTCTGTGCAAATGTGAGCTTGTGAACCGAAACAAGGGAGGAGACTTGGTTTCCTGATCAGAGGAGGGAATCCTTCTGGCTGGATGGCTGAGACTTTAGACAGTATCAGGCGCAGGGTCCCTATCTCCCCCTTGTGGCGGGCACTGAGAACTGGAATTGTGGAGAGAGTTTGATGGACTGCCCAGGGAAACTGGCCGAGATGAAGCAGCAAGTGTGTTCAAGGGTTGTGAAGAGCTACTGACCTCAGGAGGCAGGGTGTGACTTCCTCTTTCCGACTAGGAACCTGAAGAATACCCCTTGCTTTACTAATGACCTAAAGTTTTGGGAGGACTGCAAGCCAAATGGAGCATCTGAAATTTTACCATGGCTGTCCTGGGTGAATGGGCATTGCCTTGATTCACACGCTTCTGGGTGAGAGGGAACAACAGAATCGATGAAGCAAAGCTGAGATGAGACAGCACTCTCCAGGGGAGAGGTTAGACCCAGGAGGAAGTGGCATTGTGGGAACGGGAGGACCAGGAGAGCAGAAGTGAGTGTGCAAGGAAGAGCTCCCAGCAGCTGTGTTCTGCTGGTGTTCCCCAGAGGTGATTGGCAGTTCACGTCCTAACCAGTGCCCCTTCCTGCTCTCTCTCACATGTCTGCCTGCCTCCCTCTCACTGTCCTGTGATGGCTCCCTACTGTCTCATAGTTTCTCCATCTCTAAACAGAAAGAGGTGGCCTTCAAAGGCTCCTCTCCACATTGAGGGTAATATATTATTGTGTTACTAACACGATAGCTAGCTACTGTGAATTTTGATGGAAATATTTGACATCTTTCTGTTAGCCAAATCTAACATCCAGACATTACCAGTACTAAATTAGATGAACATCATTTTAAATATCTTCCGGCCATGCGTGTTTCAGCGGATAGGATTAATAATAGGTGGATTACAATATAGAGATGTGAAGTAAATGGCTTTGGAAGCTTCCAAAGATGCTGCCTCAGAAAGATTCCAACTGTTTTTCCTGGGGATGGATGTATTGGTTTGTGTGCTTAACCTGTTCCTGTACATTGCTAATGTACAGGAAACAGACTCAAATGACCATGGCATATTAAACATGTCTTAAACTTTAAGAGGTGGAACCAATCCTCAAATAAATATTCATTCCCAGAGGGGATTCTACTTTTTAAAAAGAATTACTCTCAAAATAAAAGTATTTATTGTAAAAGACATTAAGAGCTATGAATCATTTTTATTTTTTGCTTTTGCACTGTACATCTCTAGAGTATTCACATTCTATTCAATAATCATTGTTCTTACATAGTTTAGATATTCACCACCATGTATTTTAACAGGTTAAAGAGTCAGACCCAGGCGTCTCAGTATCATTTCTGTGTATTTTGATGAATCCTTTCATCGAGGAGACTTTACATTCAGGCATCCTTCTGTAGACATTCCATCCCCACCGTTGCCTTGAGTTTGAGGATGTCTGCCTGTCACCTTTGTCCCTGAGGAGTCCCTCTGGAGTGTGTGGCCTTGGGCTGCTCTTCCTTCTCCGAGATTGACAGAGCATGCCCCATTGCCTATAACATTGTTTGTTGGATGGTGCTGGGATGCTAAGTTCAGCCTGATTTTCTTTTCTTTAATATGCTTTTACCTTTCTCCTCACACGGTTCTTCTTGAACACTGCGTTGTCAGAAATCCAGTTCTAGTCATTTTTATTCTAGTGTTTGCTACTTCTAACTCACGAAATAAGTGTTTATTGGACTGAATTTCATTTTGTTTCCTGGAATCTGAAGTCTTCCTTTATTCTGTTGTCTTTTTTTTTTTTCAGTATTGCCTTTGAATATTTTCTAAATCTGACTGGTTGCATATTCCAAAAATTAAAATAGCTAAAACTAAAAAAAATTTTTTTACTCCATATCATGAAATAATTGTGCTACATTTCCTCTCTTCCTGGAGTTAAGGGTTTTTTTTTCCCCTAGGATGGACTTACTGATTTGTCTTACTTCCTTTCTTGCCAAAAAATATTTTCACTGTAACCATGACATTTCTGTTCAGCCTGCTCATTGTACTTGGTCTAATGGGGCTTGATTGACATTTCAATGTTCTTCCCATTTTATCTGAGACTTTTTCCTATGAGAACTACGACTTTTTTAAATCCTGAAAGAATGCCAAAGATGGTGTTGGGGGAGTTCAAGTGAGGCAAAGTGTGGCTTTTGTCTTAAAATGTTTCCCTTTGAGAGCTCTCTCGAATTTTTCCGATTTGGTTAAAGCCCTAAACCAGCAGATGGTGCCTCCTGTCTCCACAGGGGACATCTCAGGGCTTCACTTCCCCTGCAGTACAGCTCATCAAGGCCTTGGCTTCCAGGCAGGGGAGCCAGCCCACATGCTAAGGTCACGTACTTCCTGCCAGAGGAGCTTTCAGCTCCATGATCACAAAAGGGGAAAAAGAAATCAGCCTATTTAACTGTTTCTCTGTCAGCGTGAGGGTTGGGGGGCATGCTGAAAATGTTACTGACCCCACCTGTTTCTAGAAGTGACATTACCCAAAGCTTTGTCATGCAACTCCTTCAAGAACTTTCTGTTCTTTCCTTGCTCGTAAATAGATGAATGTAAAATAGTAGTAGATGACAGACAGACAGACAGATGATAGATAGATAGATAGATAGATAGATAGATAGATAGATAGATAGATAGATAGATAGATAGATAGATAGATAGATAGATA